TTGTACTCTGACTGTTGTACTATATGTGAATTATAGTATCCGCTGCTGTTTCTTTTCTGTAATGTAATTATCTCTGGCTCTGGATATATGTATGTATGGATTGATATGAACAACAGATGAGGAAACCGATAGAAAGAAAAGAAAAAAAAAAAGAGAGGCAATAGAACGATCAGATGAATCCTTTCGCTACACGGATCTTGGGGTCGTCACAATTTATTTGCTGCTTCTTAAATTAACATCAACTACACAATTAGCACCAACTGAAACAATTTCATGAGTGCTATTGTAGGAAGGCTTTAGTAGTGCATTTAACAGGGATTAAAACCGCTACTAAATGAAACACAGTAAAAAATATAATGCAAAAATAAATAAATTGCACTAAACTTTAAAAGAGATGCATGAATATAACACACTTTAACAATAGCTACACAATCAGCACCAACTCTGAGAATGAACAATTCCATTGGATCAATTCTATTGTCTAAGATAGCCAATCAATACTCATTGTGAACAATACTTCATGTCAATAAAACTTCAATTTGATCTTCATGTTTGATGAAAAATTTTGACTGAGATTACTTCAAGAAGACTCCACATTGATTTCCATACTCAGCAAACAAAATGAACTTTTAAAGGGGCAATTGAACAAATACCTAGAGTGCAGTTTGTTGGGTTGAAGATTTTATTAGTGGCAGCATCTAATGTAGGTACAACCCTGCAATCAAGATCTGAACTGTGATAGACCAAACTCTTAACTATCAAGATATTACTCGCTTTGGGCTAAGAGCCTCATAATTTTGTCTTGTTAATGTAACTTCCTAGTACGTCACCCATCCCAAAATTATTCCGGGATGAGCACGCTTAACTGTAGAGTTTCTTATGAAAATTTCAGCCATTACACGAAATGACGTCTTGATATTTAAAAGTTTAGCCTATTTTACTTAATGGGGTTCATAAGAAAAAATAATAGAATCTATAAAATCATTCAATTCCCTACTTTCATTTGCAATTTTAGCTCCATATTTGCCCAGAATGGTTGCATTACACGTAGCAGGTCAGTCTTTGGCTAGCGAAACCACTGAAGAAATTGTTCGATCATTCCCCAAGTCAGAATTCCACAACTCTAGAGTATTAGGTGCACGGGCCATGAAGAAATCAGTGCTGCATTAGCGAGTATTCTCAATTGTTATAGGTCGAGTACATAGCAAAAGGGGCCTACTCTCAATCCTTAGGTCAAGGCAGCCTGGGTGACTACAAGCTTTAGGCCTTTCACTTTAAGCATTATATGGAACCTCACTATGAAGCTCCTTAATGAATCCCTTGGCTCATGCTTCATATGTAGGAGAACTTGCGAGCCCTTTGGAGGTTTCAAGACACTAGAAAAAATGAATCACAAACATGTTTAAACGTCGAGAAGGAGGTTATCACTCACACCAATAGCAAGTGAACCACATCAATACCAACTCCTTGAGGGTTGTGAAGAATAAAGGATATTTCAAGGTCTCATCAATGTTTAGGAGGGAGGTTATGCATTCGAATATGGAAACATTATCCATCGTGTTAGTCTTACCCATATATGATTCCAACTATGGCACTTTGAACTTAGTAGGTGGGCTAACCTATACAATCTCCCTTGAGAAAGCAATGGCAAACTCATACTCAACACTTCTAGCTCGCCTGGTCAACGAGTTATATTTCTCATCACTCATTAGCATGCATGTGTGATCAGATACTGGAAACAAAGTAAGTGCTTGGTCATTCAATCTTTTGTGACAAACTACATAGTAAAATTAACCCTCAGGGATATTGTCTCTTTGTGATCACCCTTGGAGCTTGCTCAAGGCATCTAGGATCGCTTTCATTATCTTCTCCTCTTTCTCCTATAAGTCGCGACAACAATAAGTTGCGACGAGCAGTGTAATTGATGTTCTTCATGTTCACTGATGGCTTAGGGGCACTCAACTCATTGAGGTGTGCCTACTTTTTCATAATTAGCATCAATCCAAGCTCTACACAACAACTAAGATGATGTTGAATTTAAATTTGTCTGTTGAAGACACCCTACCTTGCAGGCCAACTCTGTGAGCATGCAACCTAGAGCTTGTGTGAGAATCAGGAGTAGAGAGTAAAGTTGTAATGAATGCTCAAGATGTTTAAAATCTCAATTTATCAGAAAAACATTGACTAAGAAAATGATCCAAATGATATAAAAAATTCAAAATACTCATCTTCACATTTTACTTATAAAGTTCTAATGGCAATAAGAAAGGCTACACCCTTAAAAAAGTAAAAAAATACAATGTTACATAGATTACCTTAGACACATGTTACCTTCTAAAGAGTGGGTATAAAGCTCTGATAATGTCTCTGGACAAGCTCAATAATGTCGAGTGTATATGAGTGAGTTCGAGTGTATATGAATGAGTTTGATAGTGTTGAGAATGTATTAGGAAAGTCTATGAGTGAATGTCGAACAAGGGTTGATTGATGGTTGAATAACGTTTGGGAGCCACTGGCATCCTGTGCTGAGCCTAGCAAGTGTACATAGGTTGCAGAGAATGAACTCAACAGTCAACTGATCACAATAGGTCGACCTAAGGATTCATTAGGTAAGAACTTTCCCATAAGTGGACTTGGATATATGGTGATGCACTCACCCCTTGTCAAGGGTGAATTACTATGATGGTTGCCTTCCTTCCACAAGAAAAGTGTCAATTTACTTGATTGACATGATCCTCCATTGCTCCTCCTCCCCAAGGTTGACCTTCCTTTATAGGCCAAGCAAGTGGCCCTAATGTCCTTGGGTGAGTTCCTCTATTGGGCCTACTAGATGGAAGTCCCATCTATGTAACCCACCAATACCTCCTAAATACCTATGAAAGTATGTGCGAGTATACGCATGATATAACAAAATCATTAGTAACTTCATAATTACTAAATAACAAAAGCAATTTAGTTTTATGAATCATTTAATACTTGGCCAACACTTCCTTTGCAAAATATAAGCACTAA